GGGGGGGGGGGGGGTATGATGGCAGTCAATGGCTACCGTCAACTGCTAAAAAACTGCTTTTGTCGGGGGAGTTGGGGGTCATTTGTGTATGGGGGGGGGTGAATAATTGTGCTTTTCTACTTGAGGATAATTGATTATATCTTTTAATTTGATAGTTTTCTTTAAATATAGTCACATGTTCATGTTATTTAAACTGTTTTTCTTTTTTCCCCCTTTTTTTTTAAATATTGAATCAAAGGAATTACGTTGATGATGATGACAATTCTCATTTTTGGGAGAACTATCCCTTTAATAACAAATACATTTATAAGTAGAAAGACTGAAATGGTTTTTTTTTTTAATGGCATTTAATACATTGGTGTATTTGGTAATGATTCTTGTGCGTTGTGGAGAGAGCGCTACAGTACCTCTAACACAGAGAGGGCTCTACACTCTATAACACAAGATGTATGAAATATTTATCTGCTCATCTTGTTTTACAAGACAGGGATTGAGGTGCTCATCTTCTACCTGCTTTGTAGGCCAATTATATAGTTACCATGCCTTAAACATGGCCTGCATTCAAAATAAAATTCAAATTATTCAAAATCAGTGACCATTTCATTGCCATTTTATATCATCATATTCTTTACAAATGAAGAAATTGGATTTGTTACCCTTGATATAGATTCTCACTCTTATATACTGTATGCCTCAATTGTATTGTAATAGCCATGCATGAAAAAAACAAGAATAAGAAAAAAAAACAGCTTAAGCTGGTTTTAGCTGGTCTTCCACCCTGGCCATAGCTGGTAAAGCTGGTCTTCTGGCCTGTCCAAGCTGGAGTTTAACTGGTTGGTGTTTAGCTTATGCAACTGTTGCATAAACTTAAGTCTGTGCCTATTCTGACCAACTAGCCATTGTCAAGGGGTAATGAGTCGTATATTTTGGATTTAAATTAAACCAATCTACGTTTTTATGCAACTGACTTTAAAAAAAAAAATATGACCAGTCTTAAAGAAAAAAAATTGATGATTAACTTGTAAGACTAGTCTAAGCACTTTATGCAACCGGCCACAGGGTGGAAGAGCTAAAACCAGCCAGCCAGCTTAAGCTGGTTTTATTTATTTGTTTGCTAGTTTATCATTTTTGTTTTGTTTTTTCTCCAAAAGAAACATGCTACAGTGAAAATGCAGTGCTCTTCCCCTTTGTTGTGTTTGTGTCCCTCTTGTGGAGAGAATCTATATAAATTATTATCCTGTGCAATTATGAGACAATCCGAGTCCATTTGCTTGAACATTATTCAGAATATTAAAACAAGTAAACTAATCATTAACAAACGATGTATAAACTTACCAACCCTAAAGACTGCCCAGCCTGTGAGGAAATATCCGGGGCACATTCCTTCAATCTGTACACAAACACATGTGTGATTGGGACAGTACAGACCGGAAGTGCAGCTCCTCTCTTCTGGTATATATACAGAAGTGCCATGACCAAACCGAGGGCTTAAATTAGATTGGAAACTGTTCAAATGGGGAATTCAGGTGAGTTACTGAGACAGCAATAATAACTCTTCACGCACCCCTAACGATTTTGAATCTATGTTGAGGATGACAGGTAATTTTCTTTCTGTTTTCTGACAAAGCCATAATTAATAGTTGTACTCAGTATGCATTCATCTCTTAAACACGGTCTGCTTCATATGTCATAAAGCTTGTCTGTTTATGGTTGTACCAAACAACAGGCTGCAGGACGTATTACTTAGAACATAATATTTAAAAAATATTTAAAATTTATGATCACTGTAGCACTGTCACAAACTTTTTTCTTTTCCCAAAGGTTTAACAATTCTCTGTTGAGTTTGCTGTGCCAAGTGTACAGAGTGTGTAATGATTAACTGAGGTGACATCTCTCCTGTAGCCCTAACCCTGTCCTCAGTGGATCAGCAGAGCCTTTGTGTTTGCTGTGAAATGATGTCCACCCACACCGCTTTGCTCCACTTCTAATCTTTCCTTCAGCTTTCACAGTCTTTCCAGAGTACAGCAGCAAAACATCTGTAATGTTTGTCAGCACAGCCATGTCAAAATATGAGCTTTGTCTTCTCTCCAAGTCTTAACTTGGTGTTTATGTTGAGAGGAAGTTACTGGAGGCTGTAAATTCGTCGACTGACAGTAAAATCAGCACAGAGCTCTTGGCTCCATTTGGTATCCCATCAGCTCTCTTTCTCTCCCACTCAGGGGTGTGTTGTGGCAATCTGGAGGAGCAGAAGGGGCTGATGAAGATTAGTATGGTGTTAGTAGGGCATGTGAACTTCCTGCTAGGTGCTCTGGTCCATGGTGTGGTACTGAGACACTTCAGCCTTCAGCGGGGACAGGCCATGGAAAGCGCCATCTCGAACGTCATCGCCCAGTGGGCCTGCTGGTGAGGCACGACATATTCATGTAAAGTGGGCAATTAGCTGAACAAGAGGAATATTTTTTCTTGGGTTTTTTTTTTTTTTTGCACACTGCAAAACAACTATTTAACAAAATACATACTGTATAACTATTACATATAACTAGCAGAGCAACCACAAGTGTAGTTCATCTACAATGAACATGCTCTACTAATGTTTGACAACCAGAAAGTGTCCAAATGCTTTTTATCATTTAGAACCTAACATATTTTTTGTGTGAAATATGTTACTTGAAACATATGCTTGTGCTATTTGTTCTTTAAGATACATTTCACTTTCACTTGGGCCAAGAATAAAACTGAATAATGTGCTGTTATGTTCATCCTTATAGGGTGTCATTATTGGGATATTGACTATAGTTCTGTCCAAAAACAGGAAGAACAGGGTGCTGGTAAGTAATCATTTTTAGTACACAAATGATTTGTCTCAGATAACTGTCATTTAAATGTTGTAAATAAAACAACACACGTTCTCTTGTAATGCTTAACGGATGAACACAACACAACACAACAGTTAAAGGGGTCATATGATGCGATTTCAAGTTTTCCTTTCTCTTTGGAGTGTTACAAGCTGTTCGTGAATAGATAAGATCCCTAAAGTTGCAAAGAGTAAAGTCTCAAACCCAAAGAGATATTCTTTATAAAAGTTAAGACTCGTCCACGCCCTCCTAAAACGCCTCGTTTAAACACGCCCCCACGTGTCTATGTCACGATGTGGGAAGATTTGCATAACGTCGCCCAAATGTTCACGCAAAGAAAGAAGGCGTAACTTTGATTCTCGCTGTAGTATTGTTGCCACCGCCACCATGTCGTGAAGATGCTATGTGTTTCGTTGTGAAAGCAAAACTACTTTGTTTGGTCTTCCAAAAGAGGACACAACTAGAAATCAGTGGTTAAGTAGTATTTACAACACTGTTCCAGAACAGTTCAAACCAAATATTCAGATGTGTGCAATGCATTTTACGGAGGACGAGGACTGTTTCCTGGGAGAGTAGCCTACAATGCCGGTGTTCCGGTGAATTCAGTTCCCCTGTTTCCCCTTCGGCGCGCATGCTGACCCTATACACTCTATGATGCTGACAAATAATGCTGACTCACAGACTGAAGGTACTTTTTCATATTTAAAGGATTTGCCACTGATGATTCAAACGCGAGTTTTGAGCAGTGTAGCACTTGTTGTTTGTCGTTTCTCCGATCACAAATGCAGACATGGTTTTATGTTTATGCAGCACGATGCAACGCGTAAAAAGACAGTATAAGTCATTATAATCAGTAATTATGTCCCCACTGGATGCAACAAATGCCTCGTTTATAATGGGTTTTATTGGTTTTGTCTCATCGCTCCGGGACACGGCATCACAATATGATAAGAGCCGTAACATTTCCGTCACACGCTTGAGGAATTCGGCCAATCACAACTCACTAGATAGCTGGCCAATCAGAGCACACCTCGCTTTTCAGACCGATGAGCTTTGTAAAAATTGATGCGTTTCAGAAATGCGGGGCATAGAGGACACACTATGTGGAAAATAATGTGTTTTTTTAACCTTAAACCGCATAAACACATTTCATTACACCAAATACACAAAATAATGTTCATTTTAGCAACATCATATGACCCCTTTAAGATAATTTCCAACTCATATTTTCATGATTGTGAAGTAAAAACTATAATTCTATACTACTAATATATGTACTAATATGATATACAGTATATATATATCATTGTTATTATTAGTATTATTATTTCACCATAAATTTATTAAAAATAATGAATGTTACAGTATAATTCCGAAACATATTCACAATTTATGATAAATTTTGAGGGGAAAATTTCTTAATTGTCATAAAATAATATTCATCCTAAAAGTAAGCTTCAGTTTATTTATGTAAAATTTATTTTCTCATCTTTTCCCAGTCTTTCTTTTATCATCTTCTAATAGCATAGACCTGTGGTTTAGATAAAAGCTAGATTTGTATTAAATGCAAATTTCATTCGATGTTGGTCCACCATGGTTGCACAAATAGGAACTTCAAAAAAGTTTCTTTCAAGACTCAAAGAGAACAAGCCCATGCAAGTGCTGTGATTGATTTATGTGTTTGTGCATTCTCTGTCAGTTTTCTCGGTATGTTTTTCTCTCTCTCTTGCATCTTTCTGCCTCAGTGGCACACACCTGCTTCCTCTCTCATTCATCAGGGCTTGTGTCGAGCTTGCTAGCATTTGATCACTGGTTTGTGAGAGAGCTTGCATGTGCCTTTACAGCTCAGAATTTACTAAACCCCTGTGATACAGAGAAGCCTGCAAGGACAAATCCTTTGCCTGGCAGTTGAGATAATAGCTCTTTGCTAATATGGCTAAAACAGCACTTTTATTGTAGACTTGGTCAGTGTTTGTGTCAAGCGCTGTAGCTGTTCTGGTGGCTGCCGCTTCAGTCATCGGACTGATGGTGTCTTTGGTAAAGACCATCATTCATGGCGACAAGAGATTGCTTGCTTACTGCAGCTACAGTGATGGCAGGAGTCACCTAACCATCGCCAATGAGTGTCCTTTTGACCCCACACGTATTTTTGTAAGTACAAAAGGAGAAATGAGAGAAAATAGTCTGACTATTGAAAAAATATGTACATTTCAAATACGTTTCTGGTTCACCAATAATTGTATAGAAATTATTTAATGCAGGGATTTTCAGCCAGGGGTCTGCAGTAGAACTAATTACCCTCAAGCTAACTAATACAGTCAGTTAACTTCATACTAAAAGAAGCTAAAGTTCAGCTAAATGTCTAATTGTCCCTGTCATGTTAAAATGTATTAAGCAAAACTAAAATGCATGACTCTGTGAACAAATAATTAAATTTTTTCAAAGCTTTGCAATGTAAGCATCATAAAAGAGTATGTAAATAAATTAATATGGTATTATACACATGCTATTTTAGGCCAGACTTAAAATGACGGTTTAAAATATTCATTTTTATGCAGTATGTAACAACAGACCTTAGTCAGGGAAATCGTCATATTGAATTTACCGTGGACAAAAATAGTTTTTTCAGTATCACATACTGTATAAAGGTTCTATATCACGTAATTTTCACAACTCACAACTTTCAAAACTGTTTTATGCCGTTTTTGCTTACTGAAACCTTTGGAAAGTTATTTTGTCAGCTGAACAATTGCTGTGTTGTTAAAAATATAGTACAAATCCATTAAACGCACTGTACTTCTGTCCCTAACAGCCTTGCTTTCTTTCTTGTCAAAAATTAAACATGGCCCTAACTAAGGTCTGACTAAGGTCTATATTCTCTATTCATTAAGGCATCGTCGGCCTAAAAAAAGGTTCAAGACCCTTGATTTAATTCACAGTTGGTTTGCTATGAGAGTGTAATTATATAAATATAATTTCGATATAAAATGTTTTAATTGCTAAACTGGGGTTTATTGCCAGTGTTGTTAGTATTAAACTTGGGCTATTCTGATGCAATATTCTTCCACTGGATTTCATCATATAGTGCTCATTAACTTAAAATAAAAAATTTGCTCATTTGTAGAAAGAACATTTTCTTCTGTCATAATCCCTATTTTTACTCAAGCTATTCAAAGGAGCACATTGGATCTGATAATTTTGTTCACAATGTGAGTCTCTACTCATTAAAAGTGCACTTAGTAATTTTTCCTCATTAAAAAGTTTTACAAAGAGAAATTAATAGTAATGTGAATGTTCAAAATGTTTTAGCCATATCAGTAGCCTAACTGGGGCCAAGATCACATGATCAGCCAAAAACTGCTTGTTTTTTCTCAGTAACCCCTCCACTATTGGACATTTTCATTAATGGATGACATTGGTAACATTAACTAAATTTAGTTAACATTAGTTATTGAATTATCTAACATTACCAAACAATGAGTAATTCATCTGTTACAGCATTTATTAATATTTAACATTAGTTAATAAAAATACAACTGTTGACTGTGATTAATCCTAAATCTAGCAATGTTTTATATTGTAATTTCTGCTCACGTCATCCGCTTCTGAGAATCCAGGAAATGTGAAAAGGGTCCATATTATCTTTTGATTTTATTAATGTATTACTAAATGTTAAAATTAACATTACCTAAGATTGAGAAATGCTTTAGAGCTATTTTCATTGTTAGTTCGTCTTAACTAATGTTAACAAATGGAACCTTATTGTAAAGTGTTACCAAGATATACAATATTTTTCTGTACTTTTTTTTCTTATATACCCCTGCTAATGTCAGGCCGACATGTTTGGTTATATATGGTTGGTTCTGCTGATTGGCATGTCACCATATTCTAATTGATTGAGACAGTGAATTGGTGGGTTTTTGTTAAATGTGAGCCAAAATCATCACAATTAAAAGAACCAAAGACTTAAACTACTTCAGTCTGTGCATTGAATTTATTTAATACACGAGTTTCAACTTTTCCACGACATTCTAATTTATTGAGATGCACCTGTATATGTATATGCACAGAAAAGGAACAGTAAGTAAAAAGTTGCACTGGTCACGATCACCCAGTGCACTCGCAGTAAATATATGCAATAAATCAAGGCTTTCTATATTTTCTCTCTCTCTCTCAGAGCACCACGATAGTCCTGTGGGTCCCACTGATACTAATGAGTGCAGTGGATATGGTGTTCTCATGCCGCTTATTTAAGGTCTCCATCTCCTACCTCGGTCTGCCCTGGTGCCTCCGCAAACAACATTTACAAGATGAGAGCAGATTGGTATGTGCTGGCACTGATTCTCACGGGAGCTCAAATTTGCACTAATAAAAATAATCGGCGTACGTGGACTCATCCTGTGAGTCTTCAGTTGTACATCTGACAACTCATGCGGTCCTCCTAATATGCTTGAGGGAATACTAACCAACACGTGTGTGACTGACTCACGGTCCCGTCTGTAGAGGGTGTGCTCGGTGACTCATACTGCAGTCATACTGTACTGTATAGCGGCATCACTGTGTTCCATTTCAGATGAAAACCCCAAGAGCAGCCGAGCCCTGTTATTCACCCTCATCCCGACGTTTCCAAGAAGATGAGGAGCGGAAGCTGTCCGTTATTAGACCCCCAGAGCGGCACAGGCCACCCTACAACTCACGACCGCACAGCTCCGTGTCCTACGGTCAGTACCGCCAGCACCACTCCGCATCCCCGTTCAACCGGGCGGCGCTGGAAAGGTCCAGTATCTGGATCTGATTATGAAGCGGACCATGGCTCTGGCATCATTCAGGGATCAAGTGCATTTTAAACACTTCTGAAGAAAGGTGAATGTTACACTGGTGCTTGTGCAGGTTGGATCTGATGTTTTGTCACTCATGTATTGCAACTTTGCGTATGTGTTGTGTTGATACACTAAACATACCTTTTTAAAAACTTTTATGCTGTCTAGAGAAAGTGTACCTGTGTCAGGTTTTGCATACATTGGAGGGTCAAAAATTCCTCAAAATCTAAAATCACCAGCATCAATTTAATAAACGTACTAAATAGCCTAATGTATATCTATCTATCTTATCTATCTATCTATCTATCTATCTAATAAAATATGAATATTAGATGAAAAACATAAACTAAACTGAAATAAGTTGAAGTTGAAGCACAAATATGAACTGGAAATAAATAAAAATAAAAATAGAAACTAGAAGTAAAACAGAAATACAATTCTAAAATAATTATAAAAATAAAATATCTGTCTGTCTGTCTACATAAGACTTTCAAATTTAAAAGTCTTTGAAACAAGTTACATGTATTTCTTTTAATTTCAATTAATTTGAATCATTTTAGGTTCTTTACATTCCTATTCAAATTGCAATTTTGCATCCTGTTTTTTGCTACCTTCAATCCAAAATCAGGAATCATATTGGACTTTTCAAGGTATTCTAAATTCAACTTTGAATGCCACACAGTTCTGCTAAATACCTTTGCAGTTTGTGATCACATGGCCATGTTTATCAATAAGTAACTGACACAACATTGAGTGTACAGTATGTCAGTGTTGTGTAAGAATCACTCTCAGTCGGCATTCTAAACACATAAGTATATTTTTCAACGTCAGTAAAAGGGGACAATCATTATGTCCTCGCATGAGGTTTTCATGCAACATAATAGAGGAAAGTTGCCATAGAGGGAGCAGCATCAAATATGGTCTCGGTACAAATATGGAAGCAACATAGATGCCAGCAAAGTGAGACAGCTACACATGTATTGAGAGTGGGCATGTATGGAGTTCACAAACTAAAACTGTATGTTACAAAAGCAGGAGCACCTGGAGAATTCAGGTCATGGAATGTCAGTCGCTGCATAAAACGAAAATAAAAACCAAAGCAGTGGCGTTCTCTTTACACCTGTTGATTCAAAAGTGGAAATAAGCCCTTAGTGATCGCTTTCAGGATTCATACTCTTTATCTAAAGGTGAGACATGATTATAAATTATAACATTGTACATTCCTGTCTATGTTGTTGATGGAAACCTAAGGTTGTGATTTTGAGTACCATATGATGCAGCATCAAGGTGTCACGAGTTTGCTGCTTCAAATCAGGGTCCAAAAACTTGCTTGCATACAAAGATATCGAATTGAACTACACAATGTGACTATAAAGTTAGCACAGACACATACATACACCAAAACATGCAAACCGTCACTCTTGCGTACATACAAACGTGCATAACCGCACACACACAGATGAAGCGCTTCAAATGATATGTGCTACCAGTGTCTTCCATTCAGCGTAATGTGTCCCCTGATGCAAAAATTTCCCACAATGCACTGAAAAGCCTTGAATGACTAACAACTTACTCCAAATGGCATAATAAATCACCAAGTGTCTCACATCTCGTTTCGACAGTAATAAAATCACCACCGGTAAAATAAACACCATAAAAATGCCAAAAAAAATAACAATAACGAAATAATGGAAGCAAACCACATATTTACAACAACATCAAAATTAAATGAACAGAATTCAAGAATGAGATCCTCAGCCTTCTCTTTGTAAAATAAAGATCATGAGCGCCAGAGCAGAAAAATCCCAACATTCAGTCCATCAGTCCACTGGGTCAATTGGAGGCTAAAATCTGGATGCTGCCCAAAGCTACATAATACTGCCGTAAGATGCATGTGAGTAAAAAGACGTCTATAACTGCCTTCCTTTGTAGTCCTAACATGTTTCTATATGCATTTATACTGTATATACACATAAATATCAATATAAAAAATAGATGGGGAACTGTGCCAAAACAAGGGGTAAGAGAAACAAAACAGCACAGATATTAAACACAAGAGGGGTGGTGAAGGTCAAAAGCGCATGCACGATTCCTAAAAAGGAAAATTCCTTTCCAAAATCTGGACCCTGGAACACGATCAGCCGCTTTTTTAATCAATTTTTTTTGGAGTCGAGTACTCCATCAGCTTCTGCAGAGACAAGGACGGATGACACGCACCAGACAGAGAATGTCCTGGCAGGTGTTGTCTTTGTTCTTCAGATGTACACATGTCCATTCTGGGGAAAACTGAAAGTAAAATTGTTGCACTTTTTTCTTAAAACTCTTCTGTCTGGAACACAAAGAAGAATGAGATATAAGAGCTTTCATGCATTGAGTGCTGCTTGTCTGGAGCGACTCAAAACTGCGAAGCACTGCTGGGGTCACACTGCAGTAGCCGCACAATGGAGGGATCACTTTTGGCACCTTTTATGAACTCTTCCAAAGACAGCTTGCCTAGAATGGGAAGACAGAAATGGTGGGTAGAAAAAGTTGTGAGAAAAGACACCTGATATATGCTAAGAACTGGGGTGCATGATTATATATATATATATATATATATATATATATATATATCTTTTTTTTATTTTTTTTATTTTTTAATTGAAATTCAACATGAAAGTTAATTTTTGGTCAACTTTTTAGTCTGCAGTAAAGGTATTGTTGCATATATTATTGTAATACGATGCTGAGTTATTGCTGGTGATTACAAATTTTAATATTATTATTGGAAGTTAAATAATAATTGATAAATATATTTCTGTTGTAATTTCTTCATTTGCATGTACACTACCATTCAAAAATGTAAGGTCAGTAAGATTTTTAAAATGTTTTTGAAAGAAATCTCTTATGCATACCAAGGCTGCATTTATTGATAAATAACAGTAATATACTGAAACATTATTACAATTTAAAATAACTGTTCACTATTTTAATATATCTTCAAATATAATTTATTCCTGTGATACAATGCTGAATTTTCAGCATCATTAATCCACTCTTCAGAGTCACATGATCCTTCAGAAATCATTCTAATATAATGTACTGATTTGCTGCTCAAGAAACATTTATTTTTATTATCAATGTTGAAAAGAGTTGTGCTGCTTTTTGGAAATTGTGATTGGTTTTCTTTGATGAATAGAAAGTTTAAAAGAACACTTAAAACTGAAATGTTTATAAATGTCTTTACTGTCACTTTACTGATCGATTTAATGCATCCATGCTGAATAAAATGTATTTATTTATTTTTGTACACCAGTTGTCACACACCAGTATTAATTTCTTACAAAAAAAAGAAAATCATTTTTTACACCTGTATTCACACTGGCTACAATTATAGGCACCCAATTATTGCAACGTCCTTTCCACAGGATAACAGCTCTGAGTCTCTCTTATAATGCCTGATGAGTTTGGAGAACACCTGACAAGCGATCAGAGACCGTCTCTTCATACAGAATCACTCCAGATTCCCAGCTCTATGTTGGTGCTTCATTTTCTATAGGGTTAAGCTCAAGGAACTGGGATGGCCATGGCAAAAGCTTCATTTTGTGTTCAGTGATTTTTTTTTGTGTGTTGATTTTGATGTTTGTTTTGGATCATTGTCCTGATGGAAGATCCAACCATGGCCCATTATAAGATTTCTAACAGGTTTAAATTTTGTATCTGTTGGTATTTGCTAGAATCCATGATGGCATGTATCTGAACAAGATGTCCAGCCTCCAGCAGAAAAATAGGCCCACAACATTAAAGATCCAACAGTATATTTAACCGTGGACATGGGGTACTTTTTATCCCGCTTTGCACCAAACCCATCTGGTAGGTTTGCTGCCAAAAAAAACTATTTTTTTAGTTTCAACTGACCATAGAAGCCAGTCCCGTTTGAAGTTCCAGCCGTGTCTGACAACTGAATATGCTGGAGTTTATTTTTGGATGAGCAAGGAGGATTTTTCTTGAAACCCTGTCGAATAACATGTGGTGATGTAGGGGCTGTTTGAAATGTTTTTAGGCTTTCTGACCCCGAGACTTAACTAATCTCTGCAATTCTCCAGCTGTGATCCTTGGTGAGTCTTTGGCCACACAAACTCTCCTCTAACCAAGCATTAGGACGATATAGACACACACACTTTTCCAGGCACATTTGTAACATCTTTCATTGATTGGTACTTCTTAAATATTGCCCACTTTCTATTTTGTGAAGCTCAACAATCTTGTGCTGCACATCAGAACTATATTTTTTTGTTTTACTCCTTGTGTTGGATGATTAAGGGAATTTGGTCTTTGTGTTCCTCATATCTATAATCCTGTGGAACAGGATATCATGGCTGGACAATTTCATGCTCCTAGTTACCCTGGTGTGCTAATTTTTTAAAAATATGAATGGGAATATACTTCAGAGATATAAATTATATAATTTCTAGAGGTGCCAATAATTTTGGCCAAAAACATTTATTTCATAATGTGAGTTTCCCCCCACTTTTAATTGTTTTACTTCAATGAAAGATTAGAATTTTGTGAATTTTTGGAATGAAAGATCAAAAAGATAAATGATGCAAATGTATTTTCACATCCACCTTTGCTCATATTTACCAAGGGTGCCAATATTAGTGGAGGGCACTGTAGCTAGAATTATATAGCTTTTTATAAGTTAATCAGTAATCGGAGCATTATGCTCTTTCATGAGGCCTACACATGCTCTGAATGCACACATACTATACATTTATTTAATTAAATCACACTCTTTTGCTATTTAATAATCACACCAGGCCATTTTGAGATTTCAATACAAAATGTATTCAAACAGTCAAGAACTGGTCCACATCTTACCATCATTGTTCAGGTCCATTTGTCTGAATATCTTATCTGTCCTCTTCTCTGGTGTGGATTCATCCTCAGGCATTTTCATCACCGAAGACACCATCTTATAAATGGCCTGTTAAAGATATGAATAATGAACCAGGTTAAAATATCAGCAGACCACCTTTATCTGGCCTTCACGGGTTAGGCTTATCCAATATTCTGCTCCATTAGCATTTCATCCTGCACTGAGGTTCACCATGAGCCATGAAGCAGAAAGCAAACCCGAGCAGGGAAACTTCATAGGCTTTTTCAGCTCATTTACTTGCCATACCCACTAAATCAGAGATGTCGGTTTTAAGTCAATCAATTATGTAATGTTTTTGAGGGATAATGATATTCACAGTTGGGCAGACTGCTGGTGCCGTACTCTCGGCTTAGCCCTCCACTTTTTAAAAGCAGCCGCCGTGATAAAATATGCAACACGCTGCAATCTCTAAGTGCCAGCCAACTGTAACCTCCATGAGCTTGTGGATAATCCCGCCGTTCTGCACACACAGGGATAAACCCCAGTTAAATTTAACTCGTTAATCCAACAGAGAAGAGAGCCAACGTGGGTGCTACGGCCCTCCCCCTATCTCCGCGATCTTCCCCACAGGCTTTGCTAGTCGAGGGGCATCGTGCAGAACGGAGCTTTGCCAAACCTAGCTGAGGGAGACTGGTACCAACTGAGCATGCTAAGCACATGCTAATAGCTTCTCTACTCCCACAGCACAGGCTGACAGGGGAGCGATCATCTGGGACAGCGCGCTAATGTTTGTGTTTGATCTCTCCACCAGGGGTCAGGCTGCTCATCTCTGTGCTTTCTGCAAATTATGAAGACTTGTACTGTATGTGCACTTAGGAGAATACAATGCTACTTTTTTAAAACCAGATGGTGTAGTATTTACACAGTCGGTATACTATATGGTAGTATATGGTAGCAGGCTAGCTCAAATATTGTCTATATGTCTCTTAATGATCAATTCTGATCTGATGAATAATTTCACACACATTAAAAGTGAAAACAATTTGAGGCATGCTGCAGTAAGAGGAGCATGAAAGGCTATGGCTGCACTGTTAATAAGCAACATATTAGGTGGGTACAAATTGTCTGTTTCCTTCAAGTATTTAGATTTTTTTCATTTCTTCAAGGATAAAAGCAAGTGGTTTTTCTTTCATCTGACATTATAAGGACACAAAGTCACTACAGAAGTCAATGAACAGGAGGATTTCTTGAGCCAAGATTGATCGTCATAAGACTAGTGTGCTCAATAAGCCTGAACTTTTAGAAATCACAAATCCTTGAATGAAAACCTCATTTGAAAGAAAAGGTGAATAGAAGGCAGGGTTTTATTTTAGCGCACCTCCTCTCCACCTCTCGCTCGCATCAAACTGGTTGTGGGGGCATGGTTAAGGATATTCTGCCCAAGTTGTCAAACTGTCATCATCAGAGAAGGAATGCCACATATTCAGATTTTGATTAAAAATCACCCAGACAAACAATTATTTCAGCGGATTAACTTGCATAGATTCCGCAAAGCAAACAATGTGCTTTTACAAAGTAAATAGTGTAAATATTGATTTCATGCAGAGATGCTGAAGAAGAGAATCGGCTTCTCACTCTTCTCTCCAAAACTGCCTACAGGTTTTATGTCATAATACCATGTCTATCATGTACTTTCACCCATGTGGTATAGTTAAGGTTTGTGTGTGGGAATTACGGACCTTTTGGGAACGCTTAAAATTGTGTGCAAAACAATCCTGCATGCTGTTCAGGCCCTGTTATATAATACAAAATACAATCACTACACGATTACTCTGGTAACCAGCAAGCTATGTTGGTCAGGCTTTTTTGTAGTGTATTTGTGGAGTGTTTCAATGGTCAGCCTATTGAAAAAGCCTACGGCTGTTAGCTGGTCTTCCAGCCTGCCCAATCTGGTTAGGCCACACTGATTTGGTGTTTTGGGTGTGTGTCAGCTGATCAGGCTGTGAGACCAGCTGGCCAACCAGCTAAACATCAGTTTGACAAGGCTGGGAGACCAGCTAACCAACAGTAGCTTTGAACGTTTGCAGTTAGCATCTAACATCTAAAGTCCAATAAACCATATTTGTTCATCAAAATCATCACAGCAGTGAGAAAATAAAGGTATGGATGCAATATACAATACCTGTTTTCTGTTAAAAGGAGTTCATCCAAAAATGAAAATTCTGTCATCATTTACTCACCCTCATGTTGTTCAAAACCTGTATGAGTTTCTTTCTTCTGTTCAGCACAAAAGACAATATTTTGAAGAATGTTGGTAACCAGACAGTTGACAGTAGCCATTAAGATCCATAGTATTTTTCCCTACTATGGAAGTCAATGGCTACTGTCAATTGTTTCCTTAACAACATTCTTCCAAATATCCTCTTTTGTGTTCACCAGAAGAAAGAAAATATTACAGGTTGGAAACAACTTAAGGGTGAGTAAATGATGACAGAATTTTTCATTTTTGAGGAACTATCCCTTTAAGAGTTGATTTACGGTGCAGACTACAGTACATGCATCCCAGAAAGCCACTGACCTGCACAATCTCTAACATTTCCTCACGGCTGATGTAACCGTTGCCATCCAGATCATACATGCTGAAGGCCCACTTCAGCTTCTGCTCCAGTTTTCCCCGCGATGTCACACTCAGAGCAATAATGAACTCCCGGAAGTCAATGGTCCCATCGTTGTTCGTGTCAAACGTACGAAAGACATGCTCAGCAAACTTAGAGGCATCACCGTATGGGAAGAAGTTGGCATAGATCTTCTTAAATTCCTCAACGTTCAAATGCCCACTGGGGCAGTCTTTCAGGAACCCCTGTTTAGAGTGAACAACATACAGCATATTGGCATAAGTGGCATGATTTAATAGACTCCATTATTAGAATATGACATCTCAGGTCAGAGACAATCATCCCAAAAAAAAAAAAAAACCAAGTGGGAAAGTCTATTGCTGCATTCAATTCTGCATCAACAGAGCACAAAATGTATACAAATTAAATATGTCATTTCCGATAGTACTTGAATGCACAATATGATCTGCTTTTTTCAGCCCCAGGGCCACTGTGGCTCATAATATAGTAGCTCAAATTTACATACATATACACATACATGGTCCCTTAACCTTCTTGTACAAGGGGCATTCATGTCTCCTCTGGGACATCCAACCTTGGGATACATATTTTACTGTATTTTAAGTCATTTCCCATGACCACCACTTATAGAGACATACATTAAATGGTATATTTAACCATATGTTTGGGAGGGTGGCTGTTTTCATATTCAAATATGCATATATATGTATAAACACCATGTATTCTCAGAAAAAAATGTGCAAAAATTGTTTGTTACTGGGACAGTACCCTTAAAGAGATAACTTTGCACCTTATGTACCTCTAAAAGGTTCATAGTAGTACCTGAGGGTACATATTACTACAACATATTAATATGCACCTTTTGGTGGTAGATAAACTTGTCCCTTTAAGGGTACTGTCCCAGTGACAAACTGTTGTTTCCCTAAAGATACAGTTTTTGCTCATTTTTCTGAAGTATGGTGAAGAGCATGAATGTATATTTATCTGTATCTTTATAAGTCCAATAATTTACCCTCCATGTACATTAAACAGGGATTTTTGGAAAAAGTTTTTGGACCAAAGGCACCCATTGCAAAATTTTATTTTCCTACTTAGTATTTTTGTATTGCTTTCCAGTACATACGTATATCTAAATATTAATAAATCAAGATATATTTTCAGAATTTTCAGAAAACAAGACTTAATATCTAAAGTAATTTTGTTTCTCAAGTAAATGTACTGTATATTGATTTACTGTAAGAATTTTAGATAGTTTTTATTGTTAAACAATTATACTAAGGAATTTTATTTATTTATTTATTTTTGCTGTGCACTTTTTGTTTAAATATCACTGCATTAGATAACATACTATCAAACCAAATGGCATTTATTGGAAAGATTTTCAAACAAAAATAAATAAATATATAGACTATATATATATATATATATATATATATATATATATATATATATATATATATATATATATATATATACACACACACACACACACACACACACACACATATATACAGTATATGTATGTGTATATATATATATATATATATACATACATACATAGAATACTTTAAAATTAATACAGACACACTTTCAAAATGAAAACAAAAAGTACATGCAAAATGTCTCAGTAAAGTAATTCATTCTGAGAAAAGATCTAGCATAATTTGTTGATGCCACTTGATTTGATATTTTGCTTGCAATGCAATAAAATTCAAAAAGTTTGTGTGGCTTAAGTCCCCAGATTCACGGCACCTGTGCATGTCTCAAGATGTTCCCACCTTGTACCACTCCTGCAGCTCATGGTCAGTGAACTCCGTGTTCTCCCTCAGGTCCATTAGCATCTCGGGCCTGAGTTTGCTGTTCTGTTTTCCCATGATGATACGTCTCTGTGTGTGCAGTGACAACGCCGAGGCCCCGGGTCAGACCTGTTGGCAAAAAATGATATGAGGGCCAATGAGGTGAACTGAAAACATTTAGAGTAGGTTACAAGTTCAAATGGCAAGAAGGAGTTTTAGTTATGAGGCCAGGAGTCAAGTGATTAGATGCCGTCACGGCATCGTGAACATGAAATTTCAGCTAATTAAAAACCACAGGCTTCTTCCAAATCATAACAAAGTATGTTTGAACTCTCTTGCTCTGGTGTTACACCCATCAGGGCTCAGTGAACTCTAATGTCTCCCCTGATATTACATGGATAATTAGAGCTAGTGTGTTTGTGTGCAAACGTGTGTTCGTATATGTGTGTATGAACATATCCATTAGTGAATTAATAGTACCCCTCTGAGCTGACTCATTCTCACTTCCTGGGCACAAAAAGTGCTCTGATAAAAATACATAAATGTCTGTAATGCTGCAAAAGGAAATGTACAAATTATTTGGTCCAAATAGGAGGCAGAAAAACAGCCATTCTCTCATGATGTTTTGAGATCACAGTTAGCTCCCTGCGCAAATTAATAACAGAGCCACCCACAATTACTGCAAGATGGGCAGTGATACGAGGCCGCATATTGCACCATGGTAAAAACACTGGAGAATGATCAGTACACACAAACAAGACTCTATAAGATATATGAGAGCATCCAGCACTGAGCACCAGGCACATTGATCTCAAAAGCACAGGGAGTGGTATGAGCTCAATGAAGAAAGATTATCTGACAGTATGCGATAGAGGAAAAAGCCCGGTTTTAGTTTAAGCTAAATTACCTTACATAAGCATTGAGAAAAAGAACATCCTCCAAACTGTATCACTTTCAGGGACGCAAATTTTTGCACATTTACGGATGATAGCAGTCTGTCTGATTTGATTTTCCTACCCCATGCTGAGTGCATGTACTCTCGAGGGAGAAATAAACCCCAGCGAAGAAGGATCAGATGAGGAAAACCTCATTTAAAACAATCTTTTAGCTCCCAGCTACATGATCTGGGGGAGGAGTCATTGTTTTATAAAAAAAAAACACAGATCAAATTCAGATTACTCCATGGTGTGGCTAGAGGTGGGTCTGCGATAAAAACAGTCAAAAAAATAATAAGAGCAGTTCTTCAAAATATCTTGTTTTATGTTCCACAAAGGAAAGAAAGCCAGGTTGGAAAAGACATGAGGGAGAGTAAATGATGACAGAATATTCATTTCTGGGTGAATTATCCCTTTAAGTAAGTCATTACAAATATATTGAAGTTAACTATTTTGCATTGCAATGAGGGCTGCACAATTAATCAAAATAAATCGCAATATGACTTAAATTTAGACAGAGTGAAGCATGGCACTGTGTTCACTTGCACATCAGCAGCTCATGAACCTCATGAGTTTTCGGTTTCTCAGCGAGGCTTGGTTCACAATACATTCTGCTCCACACAAACTCCATCTGCTCTGTATTTGGGGTTTTTGTAACGGGCATTTGGGAACACAACATGCACCAATCATCTTCCCATTTTTGTCATTTTTAATCAGAAAAATCTAAATTTTTCACCAAAATTGCACCGCCCTAATTGCGATTATAGTGATACACAAGTTTGTACATGTTTTTCCTTGCAAAATCAAAAGGCCATCATAGGATACCATCCAAATAATACCATTGGTATTGTACCCCCCTTCATCAGGCTCCAAGGTTCAAAGTCTTTAACCTCGGCTGAGTCCAGTGATTATATGTCCCAAACACTTCATACTTATAGCTTGAGGCTGATCTCCAGACTTAGCCATTTAGGGTTGAAGCTACAGCAAATGATTTAGCACAGTTATCACAACGAGGCCAACGAGGGAGTGTGTGTGGGGAGGGCTGATGGGAAAGAAAAAATAACGACAATGGCAAGAATGCAGAGCAGGAGAAGTTTACACTGGCAGCACGCCCAGTGGTGATGAAAGAGCATCACCGCCGAGTGTTGGTGTTGGACTGACCAGCAGACACGCAAATGGCTCTGTGCCGTGCATGTTGTTTTCATTATGCCGTCTGATTATGTGCCTTAACCAGCCCTTTGGATATTTGCTGGATTTCTATAGCATTTGTGTTCTAAGTTGCCTTCTATAGGAACCAGAAAACTGACAGGCGATAAAAACTGAAACTACAGGATGAAGTAACTGTGTCTTCATCTGCATCTGCACCTGAAAAAAACTCCAAGTAGCAGTGCATTGTCAAGCGACATGTCTCTCTCTGCGTAACCCCCCCCCCAAATGTCCTTAGCTCCAGCTAAGAAGAGTGGAACAAAAGACATCTGGAGGAAGATAAGGGCAATATATAAAGAATGAAATTACTTCATCCACTTACATTTTCTCACATAACTGTCTCTTGGCTAACCCCAGAGGGAAAATCACCAGTGAGATCTTTTAAATATTGTGTTTCTCCTTTGAAAAGAGGTTAAATATCCTGCTTCTTATATTTTTTTCTTGCAAAAAACACCCTAATAGTCTTCTCTAGGGTTTTCAGCAAGCTCTCATACTACGCTTAGATTAGCCAAAATCACACCCAGCAAACCTGCACTCAGAAGTCAGAGGTTTAAATAAGAACTTTTATGCCATTCTCAATTCTATTATCACATATATCATTTTAAATTTTGGGGTCGGTAAGATTTTTTTATGTTTTTGAAAGAAGACTCTTACGCTTACCAAAGTTGCATTTATTTGCTCAAAAATAGTAAAAACAGCAATATTGGGAAATTCAATATATCTGTTCAATTCAATATATCTGTATTCTAAAAATTGTATTAATATATTTTAAAATGTAATTAATACCTGTGTTGGCAAAGTGTCTCATGTCAATCATTCTAATATCCTGATTTGATGCTCAAGAAATATTTCTTATTACTATCAATGTCAAACAGTTGTGCTGCTTAATATTTTTTGGAAACCATGATACTTCTCAGGTTTCTTAGATTAGTCTGTTCAAAGAACAGCATTTATTAATGTATAAAAAATAGAAATCTATTATAAAAGTCTTTCCTTTATGGAATAATGTACACCGATAAATCATTCAGTATAATACCAGGCAAGAGCATGAAAAAAAGTAAATGGGATCATATCTGATTTCTCGTTGACTTTAAGCCTCCTGTGCAATGAACGGGCAACCTCTGAGCAATAAAATGTTCATCTGGAAAAGCCTGCAAATACAAAAGTTAACAAAAAACGAAATTACTAACAGAGCTTATTTATGACATAGAAATGGGACAAGTGCTCTTGAAAACCCCTGATAACAGCAGATACCAGAAAGTCGGATATGCCGAAGCACGCTAGAGCACACACTCCCTCACAACCTCAAACAGAATTTCTCCTTTTCTTGTTCTGTGCAATTTCTCTTGTTTCTTCCTCTGGATGTTTGGGCTTAAGGGGTAATCCTCTCTTGCTCCACAGTGTCCCACATGTGTTAGTGGTTGTTCTGACTGTTAAAATCCAGGACAGCCTTCCCACTTCATCCTGCAGACAGCTGTTCCTCTCCTGTATGTGGGTCAGCAACATCTGGATTGTGGAGGGATGAATGGATGGATGAAAAGGAGAGTAATGCTGTGCTCTCTGGGAAAAAGACAGAGGGGAAAATTCACGCAAAGAACTGCATTGTTTGCTTTGCGTGTGCACAATGTTGCATCCACTCCACCAGGTGTCAGTATAGTGGCAACTGAAGTATCGGTCAGCACATCATAAACAAAAATTTCTTCAAGCACATCTATAAGTAGCCATGTTTGCTTTGACAAAAATGCTTCATTTAAATAATCAGTGCATTTAGTTCCCATTTAAAACTGGATAGCGAACACTTAGTGTACCACATTCAAAAGAGCCACAACGGTTTAGTGAAATCACCCCAGAGTTGTTTTGTTGTGTGGGAAAGCTTGAGGGCTGAGGAGGCTGAATATCTGAAACACAAGAGCCTCATTAAAATCCCCGCCAGCAAGAGAGTGATGAGCCACTGCACACCAGTGAAATAAAAGTGCAAGGCTGAGAGGAGAAAAGAGAAATGAAAGGAGGGAGTTACAGTGCATCAGAGTAGGGGAGAAAGAGCCAAAAGATGAATCTCACAACAAGAGTATCTTATTCCTGCATCTATAAAAAGAGGATGACAGAATTGATTTTTCTCCCCGCTCCTGCGTTTCTATCTCTCATCCATTTATGAGAAACAGAGGTAATGAGAGAATCAGTCTGACCTGACAAGTGACTTTTGATCTCTCTAAATCAGCCGCCATCTCTTTCTCTGCCTCTTCCTTTATAATCCGCCAGCTCTATCCCTTCCTTCATTTCATTTGCTTAAGACCCTTTTAATTCCTCTAAAGTTTAATTCTAATTGCGCAACCTTTGCATGAACCATCTCTCTTTCTAAATTATCTCTCTCTCTCTTTCCCAAAAGTCTTGTTCCAAAACCTATTGAGTTGTCTCTGTAGGCAGCATTTTAAGAAATCATAGCCGCCCAGTTGTTCCAAAAAGAAGAAAGCATAATTACGCTGCCTGTTAATATACCACCATTTTGGGTTTATCCCTTGTGGGGAAGGCAATCCCATAAGGCATTGTGTAAAGCTCTGAAAAAATTCAAGGCTGTCAACTGATTAACAGTTTTATTCAAATGAATAACATACTACATACAGCATTTCAATATTTGGTGAGAAAAATCTCTCAGTGTATATCATTTAAAGACAATACATTATTAAAGATTCAAGGCAATCATTATATCTGCACTGTTTGTTTACTTCACTGGTTTGCACTCTATCTGCCATGTGCCTTGTGCTGCTTTATTTATTTATTTTTTTACATTACCTTATTTGTATAGTTGTATTTTATTTTATATTTAATCTGCATCTATCTGTATTTTATGTTCTACTGTTAGTGTTATCTGTATGCACCAAGGGTCTGAGAGTAACGCAATTTCAATTCTCTGTATGTACAGTTTGTAATGTACATGTGGAAGAATTGACAATAAAGCAGACTTGACTTGACTAAAGATGGATAAAATCA